TTATTTCAGCTGGTCTGATGGATTCATCCAGCCATTGTCACCAATGCATGTTTTGTCACCTATGAATACTTAATTGCACTAGAGCAAATGTGCTAATGATACTCCTTTTTAATTTCTGTCTTCCTCCTTTGTGGAGGAATTTAAATTCAAGATTAGAGTTTAAAATTAAAGATGTTTATTTAAATTGAGATTGAAACAAAGCATGAAGATGAGAAGAGTTAGCATTGTAGGTCTGTGGTAAATTTGTTGTTAGTGAGATTGAGCTCTTCTGTGAGCAACTGTTGGGGGTCTTTTGTGTGGTCTTCCAGGATCAGTAGAGTTGTGCCAAAGGTTTATATTTCAGCGGGTACTTCCAAGGTGGGAATCGCATAAGGATTAAGAATAAGTTATTTTCTTTCAAAACTGGAAAAGCTGCTCTATCAATTTGTTGGTTGCACATAGTGCCTTTGAAAAAGCTTCAGAAATACAGGAAACGTTGTATTTCTAGTTATTACAGATGAGGACAGTTTAAAATGGCAATGGATAGTGAAACAGCTTCTGCTTTAGCTTTGTGCTTAGAGCTGCTTTTGGGGGAGGTTTTTTTTCTTCTTGGGCTTTTTGAACAAAGATTGATGCAAGATTTTTATTTAACTAAATTATTCTACAGTTTTAGCCAATATTCTAGGTGGGTTTTATCCTTATTCTTTTTTATTTTTGTCACAAACAGTAACTGCTGCAGTTGATTTGTAAAATGTGTATTAGCATTTTTGACAATCTCTGATTTTTTCTTCAGAAAATTGCTTTTGATCAAATAACCTCAACAGTAGCAGATGGATCTGTACATTGTAAGATGTGCATTAGAAATCAAAACTAGAGAAGAAATAAGAGGTAATAGTATGACAGAGATGAAGAATGTTGGGCTTTCCTTCTTTTGATTGCTACTTTTCTGTAATACAGTATTTAATTGTGGGTTTTCTTAAACTTTTCTGCTACAACTCGGAAGATATTCTTGTTTCACTGATGTCCTTTTTCCAGCTACATTCTCACTGTTGGTGCTTTACTTGATGCCTTTTAAGTTTAAAATTTGTTTTGCCTGCTCTACAGTATGAATATGTACCTGAGCCTTTCTTTTGGATGAAAAATGCTAACAGTTATGAAGCTCTTCAGTGAGGCAGATGTATAAAGTGCCCATTATCATGTATACTATAAACGTTACAAATGTTTTTTGAAAGGTTAGATGCTTTAATTGTTCCAGCTTTCTCTTGCTATGATCTTCTTGGTCATTGTGTCAACAATAATGGGCACAATTCTCATTCACAGTATATAAAACATAATAATTTTTAATTATGTCTAAATAAATACCTAATTTTAAAAAATAATCTTTTTCTATGTGCTAAGCACATAAAAGGTAAAATATTTGAAGTGGTACTGTAATTATCCAGTATGACAGGTAAATGTCAGGAAGTAATTTCTGTGTAAATCAGGTACCATGTCAAAAGGAACATGAATTATTTAATTTTTTTTAAGTGAATACAAAATGCATGGAAAACTCTACACTTAGGAGCCACATGTAGAAGTTTTAAAGGAGGTGTTTTTATTTAGATTCTGCTTTCTAATACCTGCTTTTTAAAGCTGGTAGTTTTTCTGTCTCTCAACTGTGAAGGCAGTTCTGCAACATGTTAAAACACTTATAAATCAATACTTAATGTGATGCAAGCTTATCCTTTCGTTTCCCTGCTCCTATATTTCTACTTTCTCCAGTGTGTTGGTCCTAATTCTTCCCTGATTCCACAGTGAGCCATTCTAGAGCTAAATCAGCTGATGGGAACCATGCACTTCTGAGAAGGGAAGGAAATGGAAGTGCTTTTAGACAGCTCAGCTCCTCAATCACCTCACCATGTGGTCACCTTTAGTTGAACCCCACAGCCTATATCACTTCAAATTAAAAGTGTCATACTGTAAAGCCATGGTTTTGTAGAGCCATATAAAATGGATTTTATTAAAATACTATTTTTAAAATACTGATTTAAGTAACTGGAAATTTACACCACCACACAAACTTAACTTAAAATTTAGTTTCAGACATCTATGCTTAAGGCAAATGTAATTATACTAACTCATTGGACTAATATGTTTATATCTCATTTCTTTGTTATCTGTAAATTCAGCTGAGCACCAAGTGTTTAAAAAAAAAACAACCCACACACAAAACAGTCCAGTGTTCAATAAGATGGATATCTCTATCTGAAAAACTTTTGGAGGGTGGGTACAGCAATAATTTGAGATCTAGGTGAGCATAAGAATGGCGCCTCAGACTCCTTCTCTTCAGGATTTTTCTTGACAAAATTTGTTTTTAAAATAAACTTTTTTCTTAAAACTGTGCTATAAATTTCCAGTAGATTTTTCTCTTATCTTCCAAATCTGTTTTTTAACTATTGGATTCTTAAATATGTGTTACACAGAATTGAAGAGAAATTGCAATTGAAAACATGAGCCTATAATAAAAGTAACATAAATGGACCTGTAGGTTCTGGTCAAAGGAATTGGGGAAATTGTCCTTCTAATATGGAATATGTGGCATATTTTCAGTTGCAGGGGCAAAGGTATGTTGTTTGATGCATATTTACCTTCAATTCATTCTTTGTACTGAATTATTTTAATCAAATCTTGCTCTTAAACTTGTAATTTAACTAGAACACTTGCATCTGTAAGGTGGCGGCTTCTTGTCTAATTATGTGAAAGTTCCATCCTTCTTACTGACCTATAGTTTCATTATTCTTCAAAGCTACATAGGTTGTTCTTGTCAATATACTGCAGTATTGCTGAACATTAATTACCAAGACTATCAAACTGGGTTATCAGTATTAACAAGATGAATGTTTGCAATTTAAGTAGAATCAAACATTTTCTATTCTTCTCTGCTCCGTAGCATAATTTAAAATCAGAACATCCTTGTCCCTTTCTAACAACGAGCAAGAAGAGAGTTGGTATTAGAAGGTTCTTTGTCCTCATGCGTTATTGAAAATCTTCTAAAATTACTTCAGACTGCAGCTTCTATAGAAATGTGATTAAATTATTAGGGCTTAATTTAAATTTTATATTCACAGAAGACTTGCATCTCTGCAACTTAATTCTGTTCTAGCAAACCCTTCAATATTTCTATAGTTAATGATTTGCAAATTGAACAGTTTCTCTCCTTTTTAAGTTTAGAAAAAGCCTGCAGTCTAAACAGTATTTTCTTCTAGTTCATGTAAGCAAAAAATAAAGTAACACATTTTAATTGTTGTTCTTGAATGATGCAGAAGGAAAACAAACAACTTCAAAAGTTGGTGCTGATTTCAGACTGGTCAAATTCAATAGCTGCTATGATAATTTCTCTATTCAGTGGTAATTTGCTTTCCCATCTCTTTGGATGTGAACTTACTGGATTTCTATCACCTAGGTTACTCAGCATCCTGAATTGTCTATCCTTGATAACACAGCTGCCATGATGATTTGGGAGGGTTTTAGTGGTGAGGTAAAATAATTCATGAGGCAGATGGGATGTAGGAAGCCACTAAAGGTGACTGTTTGGCTTTATCACTTGGAGATAGTTGGAGGAGTCTGATATTTTCCTCACTCCTCCTCCCCCTTATAACTCTACTTTCCATCTCCCAACTTCCTTATGTAATAAGAGGGACCTAGAAAACTTAACTGTGCACATATATAGAGATATATATACACACATTAAAAGGAGGTTCAGCTTCATAGAAATATAATTTGGCAGGCTGAGAAAGCATTTCTTATAGTATGGGTAAAGTACAACAACATTTAGGGTTGTGGTCAGTAGCATAGTGGGAAATGACTAAGGGACTCGGTGACTTTGGCAGATGATCTGATTTTTGCATATTAACTAAGGAGATTTCATCATGCAACTTTACAAAATCCACTTAAAATATTAATACCAAGCTCCTCAGAGCTGTATGGACTAATGGGCAATTTGAAAAGATTAATTTTTTTATTACAGTATGAGTTTTGATTTCATAGCCTGGAAAAGCAGATTCCCTGAAATTTTCCTGAGCTGGGGCATACCATCTCTCTAGCAAGTCAAGTTTGTTTATAATCAGGACTTGTAGTGGTAGTCATTAATGCAGCAATTCTAGCTGCTGCTTTTTGGCTGCTTACGTTCAACTGCTTCTCTGTTCTTCCTTTTTAGTCCATACAAGGTAACTTGTGGTGGCCTGTCTCTTACTAGGAAGGCAGTGTATTTCTCAATATGCTAGGCAGGGCTGCAAGGTCAAAATGTGAACATAGGTATTTCTCCTGGAGTAGATAATGAGCAGTAAGTTGATTTTTTTTTTCCCTTTTTTTCATTATTATATGCTCTGTGTGTCAGAATTCTAGGTGCAAATAGATGTTGCTTGCTTAAACATTAAAAGGTCATTATTCTACTAAAGGTTTTGGAAATACATGGATTGAAGACACTTGAAGAACATTTTTGAGAACCTGTAAATTAACACAGATTTGCCTAATTCTGTAAACCTGGAATTTTTTAGCCATCATATTAGTCAACCTTCCAGTGTTGTTTTTTATCTTATGTTATAGATTAACATACTACATATGAACTCATGACTGTTCTTAAAGTCTTGCTGACAGCACAAGAGTTTAAAACTAGTTCAGAAAATCAAATAAGTTTGTATAGTAAACTTGTGATGGTGGATTTATATTAAAGGTAATTTTTTTCCCAACTAAACACAGGGATTAAGTAAATTACTAAGCAATTATTCTTCTAAATATATCACATTATCACCAGAAATAAAATTTATATTATGAGTCAAGATGAAAATACATCAACTAAGACAATCTTCAAACAAAAGACCCAAATTAGATTATTAGGTTAAGGATTTTGAATAGGTCTAGTCTATCTCATGTAATTTTTCACATTTAAAAAAAAAATAAATTATTGACAGCTGATTATGTCTTGCAAGCAGGGTTTCTGATTTTGCAAATACAAAGCTGACAGTCTTTTACTTCTTTGACAGATGGGGACGGACGAAGTGAACATTTATTACCAGTCTGTGAAGATACAACATGTCAAAAAAGTGCCATCTACTTAACGAAGCTAGGATTGGATCAGGTATTGTGAGTTTGGAATTGCAAAGACAAAGGAAAATACTGTGCTTTATGAAATAATATGAAGTAGGATAATAATTTTTCAGAAAAGAAAAATGAAACTTCCTCACCTGTAATTATTGCATATAAGAGACTTTTATTTATTTACTTATTTATTACCTATCTGAAAAAATGCGGGTTTGGTGGGAGAGGTTGCATACCTAGAATTCTATATAATGGATAATTCTACTCAAGAAAATTATGGATGTTTCTGATGAGTCACTTTCTTGATTGCAAAACACTGCCTTCTAAGCACCATAACTTCCCTAGCCTTAGCACAAGATGAAAACCAAGGTTTGTATTAAGAGTTGGAAACAGATCTAATTAATTCATATAAGCTTCTTCAGTTTAAGTTAGGGAGTTATTTTATAATTTAAAAAAATAAAATAAATACATACACACGCATATATCAAGTTGAACCAGCCCCCACCTCTTACCCCTTATTTCTATGGTGTCTTTGATTGTTATTAATTAAGTAAATTTCCAAATGGTATATGAGGACTTGTTTAGGCTATGTATCTTCAGGATTGGGCTTCTATTAAACTATTTCAGCTTTGTTTGTTCACAACACTACTTGTTTTGAGAGTCAGGGTCATAATTCATGTAATACATTACTATATATTCATTTATTCTAAAGCGTGTGCTAATCTGTTTTAAGTATTTACAGTGCCTTGCTTTGTTATAAAGTTACAGCTTACAATAAATTAACCTAATGTTTGTTTGATGCCTTAATAAATGTTTTTACTAAATTCGTATTTAGCAATGTGAACGTAAAGGCCAAGGTGACCTATAAAATACTTGCTTATAGCTGACAGTAAAACCCACTGTAGTGTACTTACAGACATTTATAATGTATGCCATACATGTTTCTAACCAGGTTATGAATTAGTGTTTATTCCTTTATTGACAAATTAAAAGTAGAATTTTTTTGTGTAAGTAGTACCCTCTCTGATCTATATTTCAGAATTTATAGGTGAACATATCTTTTGCTCAAGGAACTGTACATAGTTTGATAAAGTGCTTCTTGTTACAGTCTGTAGTCCAAGTTGATAGCGTAGATTTTCTCATTTAAAGGATCAGAATTTCTAGAACACAGGCTGTAGCATACTTTCCTACTAGCAAGAAAATCTATCCCTATTGGAAAGGAAAGCACACAGTTACCGGTCAGTTAAAGAAATATAATTAGGATGGAATATACCATCAATGTAAGAAAGAGTAAGTAGCTCTAAATGTACCTTCTTTCAGCCTTCTAATCTTGGCATCTCTGTTCTTCAAAATGCATGTTTTCCTGTGCACCCTGTGGTTGTTTGTGGGTTTGGGGTTTTTTTATTATTATTATTATTATTTATTTATTTATTTACATTAATTCCCTGTGAACACAGAATAGAGACAATGGATTATAGTGTTGCTGGATACACAGTGTTACAGTAGAGTTTGAGTTACAGGTCACAGCATTTGTATAAAGGAAGTGGATGTTCGATTCAGGATACTTTCATTGCTTTCTGGTCAAAAGGGAGAACACAGACTTTTGATAAGCATGTTACACTGGTTATATTGCTGTAATGGGCTGCTTACAATTCACTGTTGAGTAGCTGGGGTGCTCTAATGTCAAAAGACAGCTGCTCTTTAGCTCTAAATTTAATTCCTTACTCTTGCTAATGTAAGAAGTAAAAGATTTGAGTTTTTCTGCTTAAGTAAATTTGAGACAAATATTCTCAATGAAAGTAATTTCACTGTGGAAAATCAACCACACACAAATAGCATGTACCATTGGGAGGTAGAAAGCTGTTACTTGAGAGTAGCAGATGACCGGACAGTGTGCTAAAGAAAAGTTATATTATCTGTTGTTCGTGGTACACTTCTAGAAGGAAGTGATGCAGTAGTGGCAGAGGTGTGGGTCAATTCGCATAATATCAGAATTTTTCTGATGTAGGTCTTTTATTGTAACCTGCTCTGAAGTAACATGGCACATAGAGAGTTTTTCTGTTCCTTCGTTATTTAATTTTTTTGATGGCGGTCAACTATTCAATTACAAATATATCAGATTTTTAACATACCACTTTTGATGCTCATCAGTATATTTAATTTTTATACTCAATTTGGCAATTTCACTGTGTAGTTTCAATTTTAAAATAACTTCCAAGATAATGACATTTGAGGTAAAAATTAGCACTGTCCTGGTTTCGGCTGGGATATAGTTAACTGTCTTCCTAGTAGCTGGTACAGTGCTATGTTTTGAGTTCAGTATGTGAAGAATGTTGATAACACTGATGTTTTCAGTTTTTGCTAAGTAGTGTTCAGACTAAAGTCAAGGATTTTTCAGCTTCTCATGCCCAGCCAGCAAGAAGGCTGGAGGGGCACAAGAAGTTGGGAGGGGACACAGCCAGGGCACCTGACCCAAACAGGCCAACAGGGTATTCCATATCATGTGACATTACATCTAGTATAGAAACTGGGAAGTGGGGGGTGGGGGAATCGCCGCTCGGGGAACTAGCTGGGTGTCGATCAGCAGGTGGTGAGCAATTGCACTGCGCATCATTTGTACATTCCAATCCTTTCATTATTGCTGTTGTCATTTTATTAGTGTTATCATTATTAGTTTCTTCTTTTCTGTTCTATTAAACCGTTCTTACCTCAACCCACGGGTTTTGCTTCTTTTTCCTGATTTTCTCCCCCATCCCACTGGGTGGGGGGGGGGGGGTGGGGGGGCCCGCTG